CACAAACTTCTAGACTATTAAATGCCGATTGTTATATGAGTATTAAATATCATTATATTAAGTGCATGTAATTATCGCGCTCTATAGTTTTGGACTGTATTTCATAGAACTGTAGAATTCCTCAGAGGTCCTCTGATTGGGGAGGAGGCTCAGCTGGTCAGGCCCTGAATTACCTTTTAAAAGTGTTTTGTCATATATTCTGTTTATTCTCATATGCAAAACTTACTCAAAAGGCAGTTTATAAAAGGGGAAATGTTTCATGATGTAAATGACAAAGCACTTTATTGCATCATTATCAAAACTGATTCCAGAAACACTCCCTATCTCCATTCTTTTATAAGCTGGGATATCCCTCTTTTACTGCATTATCTTCTGGCTCCTGTGTGAAACATCTTTTCATTGTTTCCACTGTGATTCCTCTGCCAGCATTTGCTTTCTTGGCTGGGTCAGGCCAGTGCCAGCACTGGCTTTGGGTGGTGGATGAGGCTGGAGACATATTAAGGCAGAGGAAGAAGCTGCAGCCAGAGCTGCTGTTCTTTATCTGCCTCCCTCCCTGTATTTCCTAGTACACGGTAGTGTGTGGTACAAATCCCAGGTTTTCACTTCCTCATTCAGAAGACTTAATTCTAGTCTTCTGCATATAAATCTGTTTTTTTCTCTGAATGAGAGTTGAGCATGACTTGGTTCCTTATGGGCAGCTAGCTCTCAAGAAGAAAAAGGGAAGAGCATGAGTGAGCATGCACAGTTATTAACCCAAATAGCTACCCCCACCTTCCCTGGATAAGAGCTAATGGGTATGGAAAGAGGGTAGGACTGGCATGTTAATGGGGCGGCACACACGAAAAAAACATTTTGAGTTTGTACTGGTATAGTACCTCCTGAGATGTGTTTTAGAAAGATTCTTACCAAACTTTTTAAATACTCAAAGACTCAAGAGCAAATGGTTTAGACCGATTGGTACCAATTAAAATTGAATGAAAAAAGAAAACCCCGAAGTGCTGAATTATCTTTTTAAAGGACTTACACAAATTATTTTACTTACTGTTGTTTATGAGAGTGCTGATTAAGCCTGGATGACAATTACAACCACTGAAAGAGATGTTAACGTGTGCAGGTTAACAAATGCCCTACACTAAAACGTTGAATCAGAACCTCCCAGATGAACTGAGGCTGTTAATGTCTACAAAGTTTTCTACCTGATTCAGATGATTACCCAGATTTTAGAACAACTGGTGTGTTTAATAAAGCTTAATGTGATATGTACATTTGCTTCAACGAAGAGCTCAAATTCTAAGGAAGTAAGAAATTCATGGTGGGACAAAATTCAGAAGAGGAAAGAAGGATATACATGGTATAAAGCCAAAAGGGTCTGGACGCAGGAGGAACTGGTGGGAAGTTTTGGAGGCTGATAGAGAAGCCAGGTTTGAAGAAATGTAATAGGTGGCTGTTGGAAGGCTGTACAGATAAGGTAAGGGTGGTCTGGGAGACAAAGGTGGGAGTGGTCACTTCTTCCTTGGGTCAGAGAAGCCTTCACAGGGCCAGTAGCACTGGGCCCCAAGTTGAACTGAATGGGAGCTTTTAAGACAAGCAGATTGAGGAGAGAACACTTAGGGTGGAGCGAGCAGCATGGGAAGGGGCTGTAATGAGGTTGGAGAGCATCAAGCAGGGGTCTTCTGTGGTACTTACAGATATTTGGACTTTATTATGCTGTAGGCAGTAGGGAACTAATGAAGGGTTTTGAGTTGTGGCATAATATAATCAGTCCTTTGTTTTAGAAAATTACTTTAATAACCATGTGGAGAATGAAATAGGTTGTTTATGCTTTCTTAAAACAGTGCTCACAGAACACAAATAGACCAAACATTAAATTTTCTTCCTCGTTGCCTTAAACAGAATTTTACCAAAATCACAATAACACTCACTTCTGTAATTTGGATCTCCAACTGATTTGTTCTTTGGATAAATTACATTTTTATAGTGTTTCAATACTTCATGTTTAGATTTAAGAATTATAGTCCCTGCCCAGGGTAACATGAAATGCTGCAGCAGCACCACAGTAAAGCTCACACGGAACTCTTCCAGCACCTGTCCTCTGCCTTTTGCATCTACTTGCTCAAGCCATATGCTGAGAGTTTCCATGGTGTTTTTCTCTCTCTTGTCCTTCATAAGTATCAGCGAGTTCAGTAGATTCTGCCTCCAGAATAGCATCACAGATTGCTCTACTTCTGTCCGTATCAGTGATGCTGGAACTTGGTTTGAGCTCCCAGTGTCTCTCCCTTGGACCACTGCAGCAGCCTTCTAACTGGTCCTCCTCGTCCTTTCTCTGCCCTTTCCCCATTCTCACTTTCCTGCTCCAGACATTGCACTAGTGTTTTGCACTTAGAATAAAAAAGCCAGCAGCTCCTAGCTCTTGTCTCCCTCAGCTTCAGCTTCATCTCTTTGTACTCTCCTCTTGCTCCAGCTGTTATTTGCCCTCACAGTGGCCATTGAACATTTATTCTCTTCAACCAAGAATCTCTAATAATTCGGTGCCTGGCAAATACTCCCTGAAGTTAATAACATAATGATATCATAATAATAACACTTTCTGCCATTTATTGAATGTTTTTCTATAACCCAGACAGGACAAGTGCTCTCCAGGAATTAACTTGTAATTAAATGCAACAAGCTTTCGAAGTTGGTATTATTATTCCCATACTTTAGGAAACTCGGGCACAGAGAGCTGGAGTAACCTGCCCAGGTTCCATTGTTAGTGTGTTGCAGAGCTGGTCTTGAAGTTTGTCTGCATTCAAATCAAGCTTTTTGATATTAAAGTTTTAAAAGTATTTTGTTATCATTAAATTTTAGTGACCTCTCAGCAGTTCCTGGAGGACAGTCTTAGAGAAAGCTGTAGAGAAAAGTCTTTTATTGAAATAGAAAATAAACATTAATATAACTTAACTACCTTATTGGTGACATCAACCTTTTCTCAATATTTTATGTCTTCATAATAAAAGACAGTGAAGTGTAAAAGTTGGTAATAAACTCTGCCCTAAAATAGATATGGGCTGAATCTTAGTTCCTGCTATAAATTCATATAATTCTCAATATTGTATGTGCTAGATAATGCTCTTGGCACTTGAGATATCAGTGTACAATCAAGTGGGGTAGATTTGAGATTTGGGTTCTATACGCTGTTTTTGTTTTGGAGGTTCAGTATATCCTTCTTGCTCTCCTGTGAATTCATTATTAGTGTGATCCATCTTGGACCTCCTCCCAAGGAGTCAGTCCCGTGACTTGTCTCCTAAGGACAAACTCAACAACAAGGATGGAAGTTTATTTTGCTGTAAGTGTAGTTTCCCTCTTTTTTCCTTTCTTTCTTTTTTACTTCCAATTATTGTGAATCATTAAGTTTAATTTTGTTATATACAATAAACTCAAGAACCTTCTGTTCTAATAGGGACAGTACAATAAACATAATGTATCACATTATACATTAGGAGATAGTAAGTGCTTTGTATGCGGGACTAAGTAAGACCAAGATGGGAGAGATATGGAGAGCATGTAGCTGTGTTAGACAGCAGGTTGGTGAGGTGGATCTCATTGAAAAGTCAGAGACTTCAAGGAGGTGAATGAGTTGGGCAGATGGGTATCTGAGGGAAGAACAGTTCCGGAGGAGGGACTAGGTAGTATCCAGACCTAAGGGAGAAGAATTCATGCACAGCAAAAGTAAACATTGTGGACGGAGGAGCCAAGTTGGGGAGAGATACTAGATGAGGCTGGAGGGGTTCCAAGTATTTTTGTTGGTGATGTCGAAATCAACTTGGACACATAAGCACTTAGCACAGGGTCTGGCACACAGTCCCTGCCTGCCTCTGCCAGCCACAGCTCCTGCTGCTTCCCCTTGTAAACCCTGCCCTGCATTTATAACGGAAGCTTTTTGAAGATTCTCCAAATATTCATACCATTTTAAACCTTTCTACTTTTGCATACACCTAAAATACACTTCTTCATCCCTTATCATGCTGATAAACTTCGAGACCCACCTGGGCCCTCCTGTGGGAGGGTGTCTTTGACACTCTCTGAAGCAGAGCTGATGCTTCCTTCTCTGCACAGCCGTATACCATGCATTAAATATGTTTGTTACAATAACATGTGGCATTAGCTGTTTGTTACTTATGACCACTTACTATGTGCCATACACATACAGTGAGTCCTTTACAAGTTTTTTAAAATTAGTTTCTCACAACAACCTATAAGTTGTTATTCCCTTTTATGGATGAATGAATAAAGGTATAAGGAAGTTTAGTAATTCGCTTAAGACAATCCAGCTACTAAGTGGTGGCACAAGGAGTTAAACACAAGATTTTTGGCTCCAGAGTCCAGGCTTTTCTTTTTTTTATTATTTTAAATTTACTTTTTAAATTATGGTTGACATACAACATTATATTAGTTTTAGGTGTACAACATAGTGATTAGACATTATGAGTAATCATCCCGATAAGTCCAGTATCCATCTGACACTGTGCATAGTTATTAGTGTATTATTGACTATATTCATAAAGGTTGTCAGATGGGAGAAGGGTAGAGGGGATTGGTAAAAAGGTGAAAGAAGTACAAATTCCCAGTTATAAAAAGTCATGGGGATGTAAAGTCTGTGCCTTTTTTAATCATTACATATACTACGCCTGTTACCCATTTCACCATTTATTAAATACTATATACAAGTCGTTGTGTGCGTCACACTGTATTATGACTACTAGTTTGTATGCATGCGCCTTTCATACTATTTGTGACTGCTCAGAGGTTAAGGAACCATGTTAAATTTACCTTTGCTCCTTGGGACTTTCAACATACGTTCCCTTGGTGGAAGAAAAAAAGGAGAAGAAAATATTCTCTCGTAATTTGTAGGACATGGGAAACAATATTCAAAATATTAATGATAATGTGTTATTAATTCAGAATTTTATTTGGTTTTGAACTTCATTTTAATCCTGTCATTGTACCTCTCCTTCTCTCAGACCAGTATTAAAGAGGGACAACTATTGAAGCAAACCAGTTCTTTCCAAAGGTGGAAAAAGCGATACTTCAAGCTTCGAGGCCGAACACTTTATTATGCAAAGGACTCAAAGGTAATCCAAGAGAATACTAGTTGCGAGCACTTGAGGTTGTAGATGGATTTTAAGTTTTGGTTTTCTAAACTGTTTTTGTCTTGGAGCTCACTATCACCCTTCGCAGTTGTGTGAGTTCAGTGTAAATGTGGTCCATATAGGACCCAACCCCGAGGAAGCCCGTCTGAGTCAGTGTCATACACGGCATGTCCCCTTCGGACAATGGAAGAGGAAGGTTCCAGTGTCGCTAGCTCTCTCTCTTTCCCGCCCTCCCTCTCTCTCTCCGTTTCTTTCCTTTCTTCCTTTTTCATTATTTCTTTTGTTGTTCTTTCCTTCCAATTAAACGAAATATTAAATGTAACCTTATTAGATATGATAAACTCGAAATTTGTTTTTTCTCCCTTGCTATTTTCTTTTTCAATGTATGGTTGCTTCTGGTGCATCCCCTGCTGGGAACTGGTCTCTGCTGGGAACTGGCCTGCAACCCAGGCATGTGCCCTGACAGGGAGTTGAACCACGATCTTTTGGTTCGCAGGCCCGTGCTCAATCCACTGAGCTACACCAGCCAGGGCTTCCCTTGCTATTTTTTTTTACATTATAAATCTTTTCCTGACCATAAATGAGAGGATTGCTATAGTTAAGAATCCGTGCTATGCCCTGGCTGGCCTGTGTGGCTCAGCTGGTTGGGCGTCATCCCCCAAACCAAAAAGTTGCCAGTTTGGTTTTCAGTCAGGTCACATGCCTGGGTTGCAAGAAGGCAACCCATTGATGTTTCTCACATGGATGTTTCTCTCCCTCTCTCTCCCTCTCTCCCTAAAATAAAATTAAATTAAACTTAAAAAAAATGAAGCAGTGCTCTGGTTTCAAACAAGAATTCCTATCCAATTCCAGTATGTAGAATGGCTGTAGACAGCATGTGATCTTGAGAGGAGGCTGAAATGAGACAATAGACATGAAGTGCTTATTACATAGTACTTGACACACAATAATCTCTCAGTTTACGCTAGTGGTTAAGAATAAGAATCATAGCGGAATCAAATTAAGACTTTCTTTTTTTAAAAAAGATTATATTTATTTATCTTTAGAGGGGGAGGGAAGGAGAGAGGGAGAGAAATATCAGTGTATGGTTGCCTCTCATATGTCACCTGCTGGGAACTGGCCTGCAGGGAACCGGTCTGCAACCCAGGAATATGCCCCGACTGGGAATCGAACCCCAATCCTCTGGTTCACAGGCCTGTGCTCAATCCACTGAGCTACACCAGCCAGGGCTTAAAAGTGGTTTTAATAAAAAAATTTTTTCAGTGGTAAAAACTCCACGGAAACAGAAACTTTAAACAATTTACAATTTAGAAATTCAGAAATTCTGGTAAATAAATGTACCCGTCCCACTTTTAGTCATTTGGTCATCGTCTGGACTCATTCAATGATCTTCCTGCCAGGCTGTTTAACAGTGCTTCTCCTGAAGCCAAGGGCTTCCACCGAACTCCCCAGATTTCCAGAGGGTTATGCTTTAATCCAACTGATCTGATTATACAACTCGTTTCCTGACGCAAAAGAATTTATAATCTAGCATGAGTGATAAAATAGACAAAACTAATTTTAATGTAAAATAGACTACTTATTAAAACTAGAACAGATGAGATGCTGTGAGATGCTATGGAAGGTCACAGATAATTTCTCCAGTAAACAACACTTAGCCTCTTTCACTTATAAATAATGGAATAAGAGACAGTTTAAATAATTTCAAAGAAAACAGAATTTCATCAAGTGGCAGCAGAGGGAAAGTCACCAGGCAATGGGACTTTGTAAATCTCTTTATAAAATCTCTTTATAAAAACAAAAACAAAACCACTTTTAAGAGTATAAAAGAAGTATCACCTCATATTTGCAGAACACTTTCATCAGCTCATTTGAACAGTTAGATAGATGAGGAAAATAAGGTTCAGAAAGTTAAGTAACTCAACATGGTCTCAGCCAGGACTGGTTCTTTTCATTTTTCGCTTAGCCAGTGTAGGAACGATGATGTTGCTGAGATTGCCTCTGTCTTCTTGGTGAAGTTGTTAGAAAGTACAAGGTTTACAGACATTGCTGATTTATGTGTTAGTTGTACTTTGTGGTTTTCCTCGTGAAGTATTACTTAAATTTTTCTATTCTTTAATCCTGACATACCTTCATAGTCATGACCTGATAATAAAATACATATGTGTATGTGTGTGTGTGTGTGTGTGTGTGTGTGTGTAGAAAGAGAGAGGGGAGAAATGAATTAGGTTTTCATTTAATATATTTGTGTTGTTTTTCATTAACAGTCTCTGATATTTGATGAAGTTGACCTCTCAGATGCCAGCGTAGCTGAAGCAAGCACAAAAAATGCTAACAACAGCTTCACGGTATGGTTATATTTTGCAAACTCCCTACTCAAGTTATAGAATGACCCTAACATATAAAGAATGCCCTTTTCACTTACCAGCTGTGTGTCAGCCTATCATTATTGGAGTTCTGACCAACACGATAAACTCGATAAATGCATTGCATACTCTAGCACCCAGTATCATTCATGATTGTAGTGTTAGTTTCCATTTTTTACCTTCTTTAAATTTAATACTTTAACTAATTTCATTGTTCTTGAGTATTCAAAAAGTTTGGTTTTTACCTTCGGTCTCAAAAACAATATTTCCCCCCTTTTTCTTCTACTTTTAATTTAGTTGCTCTGTGTGGTTTAGGTTTAGGCAGTTGCTATAGTTCAGGCCTTCATTTCTTCTCAGTTAAGTAATTCATTTGGTAGCTATTTAAGAGGTGTCCTCTGTCCATTTAATTCTTTTCCTTTCCAGTCACAAATCCTACTACTTAAGACACTTCACTGGTTTGTCATTGCCTGTCAGGCTACATCTGCAACTCCACCCTAAAGTCTTATAAAATTGTGCCCTGGTATCCTTGTGTTATTGATAATTATTTACTTACTCACCCTACCAGTCCAGCATTTTTGTCTGTGCCTGTGCTTTGCCTATTCTTTTTGACTTAAGTGATTCCTTCTCCATCTGTACCTGTTGAAATTCTACCAGTTCTTCAAAGCTTATCTTAGATATCCCATTCCTCTTCTACTCCTCTGATTCAAAGAAACATGATTTGAGTACCTTATCGTTGAGTACTGTGTGTCAGGCTCCTGAGCTGTGCACAGAGATTCAAAGGTGGATGGATGGATAAGTAAATAAATATCACTTCCCTTTAAGATATTCATAGCATAGTTTAGTGAAGTCAGTCTGGGGTTCTTTTTATACCCACACACTCCTTCAGTCCTGTAAGGTACCACCACCCACACTCCCAGTCCCTGCTCTAGGGAGTCACCCCTGCTGAGAGCATTGTGTTGTGTGCATCCCCTAGGCATACAGGGCATGGAAGACAGACAGATAAATGAACAGAGCAGTGCCATGATAGAGGCAAGCACTGGTGGGATGGGGGTGGGGGAGGGAGCAAATGAGTTCAGATTTAGTCTTACTGATTTATGGATGTGGGGGATAACTCATGGTGTTAATATTCTTTCCCCTTCCCCAGTCCCTCCCCAGGGAGAGTTTAGTTCAAGAAGAGGAAAGCCAAGAATAGAATCCTGGGAAAATATTAAAATTTAAGGTTTGACCAATAAAACTGAAAGAGAGCATTCTGAAGTATAGAAGGAGCATCAGGAGGCAATGCTGTTATAAAAGCCGGTGGAACAGTTTCAAGATAGAAGTTGTTTAACATCGAATACCGTGGTGAGGTCAAGTCAAAGAAATAGAAATGGATTGTTGACTTTGTTAGCTTGGATGTCATTTGCTCACAGTGATTTATTTGAATAGTTTCAGTGGAGGGGTGGTATTCATTAGGCTGCACCGAGAATTCAAAATGGGAAGGCAGAGGGATCCAGGGTAGGTTGCATTTGCTAAAAACTTGACTCTTTGAAGGAGAACAAGTATAGCTACAAGATTAGTCAGGCTTGAAGAGAGTGTTTTGGTTTTGTTGTTATTTTGCTTTGTTTTTAAAATGGTTTTTGATTATATATATATGAAGAGAGTAAAGAATTGTTGAAATTGAAAACTGAAGCTTCTGGAGAGAGAGGGAATAATTGATCAAGGATAATTGCTACATGAGCCAAAGAGCAAAGGAACCAGAGCACAGGGTAAGGAGATTAGCACTGAACAGGAGACAGAAAGTTTATGGAAGTAGTCTTACCAAACAAAAAGAGAGAGTTAGTCTGCCTGCCACCACAAAAGCCAAACTCGTGAGACTTGCTGGTGAAACAAGAAAGAGGTTTTATTCAGGTGCTGCGCCATGGGAGAATGGCGGACTATGGTCTAAAATCTCATGACTTCAGCAAAACCATGGGAAAGCCAGTGTCTAGAGTTTCTGCTCCACTCCAAAGCATAGTTCTTTGGAGCCCACAGCGGGCAGCTAAGTGGTTATCCAGGTAGCTTAGCATGTTCCCAGCTGCTGTCCATTTCATGCTCTCTCCTGTCAAGGGCCATGCAGCTGCTTGGACCACAAGGTCACATGCTCCCAGGAGGGAAATCCTAAATGTACTGGCCTGTGCATTTCCAGGTGGGCGAGAGAGGCTCCCTCATGGAGGCCAAGGGCATGTGGCTGCTAAGGCCATGTAGCCCATGGAGAGAACAGGTAAATACACTGTGTGAGTGCAGGTCCTGAGCTTGAGCATTGAGTAAGAGAGAACATTTCTTTGTTCCCAAGGGGCTATGTTAGCTTGTGTGTGTGATGGACCAAGTGCTTTCTCAAAATAACCAATCAACTTCCCAAATTTTTATGTGCTTCAGGGGGGGGTCCACCTCCCATCCAATTCCCTTCTTTTCCCAGGCTAGACTAGCAGGCTTCTGCTGCAGGCCTCCAACATACCTTCTGCACCATTTTGACTTCTGTGGTGTATGTTTCTGCCTTCCCCTGGTCCTACCCCTAGTCTGGTACCAGGGGGCCTGAGGGAAAGGGCTTTTCTCACACTCAGTGTAAGAACTTTCCCCTGTCACCACCCTGGCCGATGGGGGAGACTCCCTGAGCTCCAACAGACCATCCACTGCTAACAGTAGCTGTTGGCAGGAAATATTACCATTTTCTCAGTGAAGTTGAAGACAAGGTCATGTGCTCTGAGTTTAGGAGAATTTAGAATAGCTTCTGCAGAAAATAAGAATTGAAACTGAATTGGGACCTGTGGAAGATTTACTAGGTGGTAGATAGTGTCGTAGTGTCTACCAAAGAAAGATTGGAAATCAAATTTAATAGTGTTCTTAATTCTTAGGGCTACAACATTTTGTCAAGATGGGTCTAGAGAACAACTAAAATGATCCAGGGTTGATTATTTATAGCTAGGGTCCCCAACCCCCAGGCCACAGACTGGTACCACCAGTTCAAGGTCTTTTAGGAAATGGGCTACATAGCAGAAGTCGAGCAAGGGAAGATTCTCTCATCTTAATGCCTAAGTTCGGCCTTCTGTCCCTCCCCCCAGTCCCTACCCTGTCTTTGAAAAAACTGTCTTCCGTGAAACTGGTCCCTGGTACCAAAAAGGTTGGGAACCACTGATTAGGGAATGTTGGCCAGAAAGATAGAGGGGTTGTTGTGTATTCAGAGGTTTAATAACTCATCTTTCTTCCCCCTCTGAGTTTTCTCATATTTTGAGAATGAAACACAGGTGCTAAGGGACAGCTTATTAATAGCTTAACAGGATCCAATAACCACTAAATACAGAGATTCTAATAAATTATTGAAGACCTAAAGCCAAAATGTTCCTTATTCTTCTTTTTTCCCTAGTGAAGGTGGTGTAGGGTGATAAAGCAATCAGGTTTACAACTTTGCTTCTCTGAGGAACGAACAATAGTCCTCTCCTTTCTATGGGAACTCATAAAAGGTGGAGATAACTTCTGGCCAAGATAGAAATGTAGGTAGATATACTTTGCCTCCTCCCACAACCACGAGAAGGACAACAACAAATTTTTTTAAAAAGTAACCAGAACTGCCAGAAAATTGAACTGTATGGAAGTCTGACAACCACAGGGTTAAAGAAGAAACATTCATCCAGACTGGTAGGAGGGATGGAGACAGGCAGCTGGAGTGGAGAGGACACTTGCCAAGGTGGCAACTGGAGGACCAGGGCAGGGGAGGCATCTGTGGGAGGACTAGTTATTCCCACTATTTGCGTGTAGATAAACTGGGAGGAACAACTGAGAGTAACCGTGCAACCCAGGATTTCAGCTCAGGGAAATAGAGCCTCAAAACCTCTGGCTATAAAAAAATCTGTGGGGGTTACAGTGGTGGGAGAAACTCCCAGCCTCACAGGAGAGTTCATTGGAGAGACCCACAGGGTCCTAGAACATACACAAACCCACCCACCTGGAATCATTACTAGAAGGGCCCAATTTGCTTGTGGGTAGTGGGGGAAGTGAATGAAAGCTGGTGGAGAGCCTAGCAAGTGGCATTGTTCCCTGTTGAACCCCTCCCTAACATATAGTGCTACAAAATAGTGATGAAGGTTGCCCAGACCTGGCATATATGTAAGGCTTCACCTCTTACAATGTAACAGGTGCACCAAGATAAGAAATGGCCCAAATGAAGAATAGATCAAAACTCCAGAAAAAGTACAACACAGTGATGAAGAGATAGCTAACCTATCAGATGCAGAATTCAAAACATTGGTTATCAGGATGCTCACAGAAATGGCTGATTATGGTTGCAAAGTAGAGGAAAAAGTGAAGACAATGCAAAGTGAAATAAAGAAAAAGACTGAAATAAAGAAAAATAAACAGGGAACCAACAGTGAAAGGAAGGAAACTGGGAATCAAATCAATGGTTTGGACCAGAAGGAAGAAATAAACATTCAATCAGAACAAAATGGAGAAAGAAGAATTCAAAAAAAATGAGAGGCTTGGGAACCTCCAGGACAACTTTAAACATTCCAACATCCAAATCCTAGGGGTGCCAGATAAAGAGTTAGAGCAAGAAATTGAAAACTTATTTGAAAAAATAATGAAGGAGAATTTCCCCAATCTGGCAAAGGAAATAGACTTCCGAGAAGCTCAGAGAGTCCCAAAGAAGTTGGATCAAAGGAAGCACGCACGAAGGCACATCATAATTACATTCCCCTTAAAAGTAGCAAGAGAAAAGGAGACAGTTACTTATAAAGGAGTGGCCATAAAGACAATCTGCTGGTTTCTCCAAAGAAACCTTAGAGGCAAGAAGGGGCTGGAAAGAAGTGTTCCAAGTCATGAAATCCAAAGACCTACATCCAAGATTACTCTATCCTGCAATGTTACCAGTTAGAATGGGAGGGCAGATAAAGTGCTTCCCAGATAAGGTCAAATTCAAGGAATTCATCATCACAAAGGCCTTATTATATGAAATGTTAAAGGGACTTACC